CCCCCCCCCCCCCCCCGACCCTCACTTGGACCAACTCTTGCGGTCTGTGCCGTGCACGCAGACAGGGACATCGGCCGCGTCCTCGACCCTTGTAAGGAGTTTCTCTTCGTCGATAACCCCCTTGACGGAATGGCCTTGGTTAGCTCGAATGAAGACGGCCTGGTTCGTGGCCGCGCCAGGGTCAGCACAAGCGCTGGCGCTGCCCGCCGCCTCTCCTCCTGACACCGGGAAGGTTGCGATGGTCATGCGGCCCTTCTCGTCCGACGCAACCTGTTTTAGTCACAGACGAACGCCGCGTGCGCAACATATTGGGCAGAAGACACTCGCAGGTGGGGGGGTACGCATAATAAGAGGGAGTACGGTCTGCCCGTCCATGTGGTTGAACGCTATTGCTGCCTCTCTCTCTCTCTCTCTTTTACCATGCACCGAGCTTTGTTTTGTAGTGAAGTTCTGCTTCTATCGGCCGTTTCAGGTGAAGGAAGTCACGGTATAAGGTATACGGTATACGGTATACGGTAGGCCGTCAGGAAAGAGCGGACAAGACGCCTACGAGCACCAAAGAAAAAACGCGACCAGCTGCGGGGGAAACTGGGCGAGATGCGACCCTGCGGTACGTCCTTCCAATGTGTAGTCGCATACCGCCCCATGAAAAATTTGAAAGCATGACGGCGGATGTGCGAAAGAAAAACGTCTTTTGGTCTTATTGCTGGCAGGATACCAAGGAAAAAATCACTTTTTTCTCTTTCCTTTTCTTCACACCCACTTGTTCGGGAGTCGGTCCTTGCAACTTTCGGTGCAATTTTAGACGCACCAGGCAGGTCACACATACAGTTCGCGCTACTAAAACACTTGAGAACTCGGCAGTGAAGAAGTTGATATCTCCTCGAAAAACTCAAAATCTGAGAGCTTGAGCACATTTGCGAGTTCCGATAAGAACCCCTACACTAAAACCTATATAGTGTCCATTCTTAGCATGACCCTAGGAAAACAGCAACAACCCCAGCCTCAGCCAAAACTACAATAATAGAGGTTCTCAAGTGCGGGCGACAGTTGTAAGACTGTCTACAGATTTGTATTTGTTTTGTTATTTGTTCGTTGGGGTTCGCTGGGTTATTCGAGTCAAAACCACCGTAGCGTGTGCCGTCAGCCGTGAGTTGGTCCTGCTGCCTGTTTTCACGTTGCATCACCCCGTGATGACACTGCTGTGCTCTCCTGAGCCCACTCCCGAGGGAACATACACGAAAGGAATATATACAATTTTATTTTTGTAAAAGTGTCTTGTACAAATAACTCACCACCTGTTCCACCTGCTCTCTCGACACTCCGCGAAAGCTCGGCTTGCTGAGGAGCTCGTCCAGACTCACGAAACCGTCGGGGCGAAGGCGGAGACCGAGCTTCTCCGCGCCGTGCCGGAGGGCATAGGTCAGGCGTTTCGACAACTGTGGGTCGCCGGTGGTATTCGTTGGTGCCAGAGCAGGAGTGTTCGATGCGCGACAAGAGCAGGGGTGGTATGAGGTTAACACGAATCATGGCATGAAGTTTCCTCGGGTTCCGAAAACACAGCACAAGCTGCGGGCTGCTGATTGGAGGGTGCAGACAGCGAACCCAGGAATTTGGAGACGTCAAAAGCTCGCCGAAAAAATCGGTACTGTGTTTCACCCAAAGGAACTTGGCGTTAAACCAAAAGGGTAGATGAGGTGAAAAGATCGAAACGTATCGAAATGGCAACAACAACGACAACTCAAGCTGTGCAAAAGCCGCTTGCCAGAATATATAAAAAACGAAAATGCCTTCATTTCGCCTCTCGTCTAGCCACTTAGAGACCGCTTTATGATGCACGCGATACTTTGGCATGAAGCTGGCACCCAGCAGAGCACAACAAACACTCATTGAGCGAGATCTGCTCTAAATTGACAGAGAGAGAGAGAGGAGAGAGAGACAGACAGACAGACAGAGAGAGAGAGAGTCATCGAAGTGAAATTCCTTTGCCAACGGCTTCCTTCCCTATAAAAGAGTCAGACCGGAGCACTCAATCACTCATTGCTCGCTGACGTTCCAGCGTATCGATGCGAGACCAAGATGTTCGAACCGTATTGATCATGGCCGTCATCCGGAACCAACTATCGTTCATTGTCTGGGATGCCTTGTGCCTCTCATGGTCATGGGTTGAATCGTTTCAACGGGAATTCTTCAGGCCCTTCCTTTCTCTTTGACAAGGACTCCTCTGTTCGCTTTATATTCGACTTTCGACTCAATCCCACGTCGGAGTAAACTTGTTTCGGAAATGGAAATGGAAATAGGAATCGATATCGAAAACGACGCTCAATTTAGAGTCGGACTTTCCCGTGACAAGACCCACCCCAAGTGGAGGTGCGTTCCAAGTTTTAACTGCCTGTACCATTTTAGATTAATTATTCAAAGAAACCACACAAGAAGCAATCCATGACAATAATACAAAACACACACAGAGCAACGACGTGTGTCAAGACCTTTGTATGCTAAAAAAGTAGTCTTATCACCATGTGTACACAGTGTTGCCCGCATTTCTGTTGTTTGTGCCAAACAGAAGGAGAAAGCTCTCCTTGAGCATCATTGGGACGTCACTGCAGCTGAGGCGTACTGAACAAGCTGAGTGGAACGCCTGTGGATACAGCGTTGGAGATTCGCACCTCCCTGCGGTGTCTTAGAGTTCAAATCCTTAGTCGGGTTAAATTTAATTGGGCGGGCAAGGTGACGGCTGCACTTGCTCTTTGGTGTGAGCTCTTTCCATGCACTGGCTCTTTCTCTCACAATCTCTTCCGATTGCAAACATGTGGCACACAGACTACCCGGTTGTTACCGACCATTCGTTTTCATCATCGCTATGAAGTGTGCGTTTCGTTGAGGCCTATGAGAGCTATAGCTATCGCCACATCATTAAAACTAGAGTGGTTTAGCTCGTCGTATTGCTAGCGGAATGGGGAAAATAGTGGTTGACATGTGGAGTTAATAATAATGTTGACACGAGATAGCACACCCCCTTAGGGCCGATCTCAAACTTTGACTACCCCGTGCAGCCAGAGCAACGGCAATGCCGAAACGGCAGCGATGGAACCGTCTCGTCGAGATCTTCCCGAAAATGAATGATTTGACTGCTGTGGCATAGCCTTTGTCGTGGAGTACTGTAGTCGAGCTTGAATACTCGGTCCAGGGGGGTGTGGTATCTTATGCAACCTACGATCAGCACACATACACCTGCATCTTGTTGGGAGGCATACCTGGACCCTGGGATCATCATGCCGACCGCGTCTTCCTCCTCTTCCTCTTCCTCTTCCTCCTTGCGATCTAGCATCTCGCTCACCATGGTCTGCGAAGGTTGCCATGACTTGAATTTGGCTCCCGATGGTTGTGACGTGATGCGGTTGATGCAAAGTGCGCCGCTACAATTGTACAGCTGTCTCGGTCATGCGAACCGATCTCTGGACCGTTCTGAAAGCTGGAACATCACCCAATCGGTATGTTGGGCAGTCCGGGCTGAGGTAACTCGTCACACCTGACCCGGAGGAGCTGATCTTCTGTTGAGCTACACTTAGTCCCAGTCCATTCGCTCCTTGGTCAAGATCGTCTTGTCTCATGCACAGGTGTGCATGAATCAGCGAAGCAAAAGCGGTGAGCTAGCTCACTATTTTCAAGATAAAAAAAATGCAAGGAGGCTTTTTGCTCCGCTGCTTGGTGGAAATCGAAGGCGTGGAAGCACCGCAATCACCTCCTCTTACAAGAGGAACTTTCGTTTTCAGGCACTGGAACCAACGCCACCACGGACAGATAGATCTAGGCCGTGGCCTTTGTCCATTGCGGGCAGCAGCCAAGGGGCTCGAGCGAGCGGCTGGATCCGTCTCGCAGCTTAGGTGCGGGGCAGGAGCGTCTGTTGCCAGACAGAGGTGAACGGTCGTTTGCAGCGAACGCGTGTATGTCGCCAACGTGTTACTGTTGTTGTGTGCTCAAGAAAGGAGAGGGCAGCAGTATCTCCGCTGTGCTTTCTGCTGCTGTACATGCGGCTTCGTGGGATGCTTCGAGGGAGATAGAGAGCGATGGCTGTTGTCTCGCTGCTACACAGGATGCGTCATGTGTGTGTTGTTGTGCGGCCGTTCGCCCTCCTTCTGATAACGAATATTGTAGAAAGCCACTGCTGGCGATATGTGCGAGGCGGCCTACGACTTCATTTGTCCAAAATATTAGACCAGGTTGACACATTACTGCTGCTGTAAGCACCTTCGTTTGAATCGTGGATTGAACCCTAAAACTCTAACGCCGCTTTTAACCGAAACACCGCTTTTGGTTAACCCAAACACGACTTTTGTTGATGTACCGCTTTTGGCCGATAGAATTCGTCGCAGGCTTGTTTCTCTTTATTTTTTAGAAAAATGTTCCTGTGCATGCAGAAAATGTTCATGTGCATACAGCAGTACACATGAGCGACCACAAGCTGCTGTCGTATGAGCTTCGGTAACACCTACTTACAGCATAGTAGATAGACGACAGTACAGCAGTCGACTACAGCAGTATTGTTTTCCCCCACGCCGGCGCTGTTCTTTGACCCCGCCCGTTCGTTCCTTCATGTCCCTTAGAAAACACCGCTGCATGCTATAACACGGCCAACAGATAAAAATACTATGTATCCGTTATATGCAACGACCCAGTGCTCCTGTACTGACTGTCCGCGGCATCCTTAGCTGACACAGCAGTGTGGTATCAGCAATGCCGATGGCGGCGAGACTTAAATGAGGCTGCGACTCGCACGCCTGGTGGTCTGCTGCACCCAGCAAGTAGCGCCCGCGTACGTACGTAGAGAGAATGAGGCCGGTATGTAAACATGTATGTATGCTCGGAGGACATGCCGAAACACACAAGGTTGCGGGGATCAAAAGCAGGCGCAAGGAATCAAGACACTGTTGTAAGCGCTCCAGGCTGATGTCCGGTATGGGTGGGCATAAAATCGACCTTCCCAACTCTACCAAGAGGGCTTCTAGCCTATCTCGCGGAAAAGCACGCTTTCGGTTTTGATCCGTCTCCTTGTACCCCCCCGCTTCTCGCCCCCCCCCCCCCCCCCCCCCCC